TGATGATGATGATGAGAAGAAGAAGAAGAAGAAGTTAGGGCTACGCGGTAGCGTAGTGGTTAAGGTACTATGTTACAAGCCAGAAGATCGCGAGTTCAAGTCCCGATGATATTACTGGATTTTTTCAATTGACCTAATCCTTCCGGCCGCACTAGGCCGTGGGGTTTACTCAGCCTCTAACAGAAATCAGTACAAGGAATTAATTAAATAATTTTCCTGGGGAGTGAAGCGCGGCCGGCGCGTAAGGCTGACAACCTTGCCGCCATCTTTGAGCCTATTGTTAAAATAATGTGGGACCCTTAAGGTCTCACAACCCTATGGGCCTTCACGACCTGTTACAGGGATAGCTTTACTTACTTTTTACTTTTTAATAGAAGTTATACCATAAAATCAGGTATAAATTGATTGTCGGATCACGATGCCCAGCCTGTAATACTTAATAATGTCCCTGCATTAAACATGACACCTGAGACTACTTATACTAGAAACATTAATAACAATAACACTATAGCGGAATTTCAGTATCTGGTAAGCTTGGAATTTTGGGATGGTATATTCAGTAATAATAATGTTAATGTTGTTATGTTTAATAATTTTCACAATACATATCTAAGATGTTTTTATGCTTCCTTCCCCAACAAAAGCGAATTAGACACTACAACAACAACCTAATGGGATGCGTCACTCTTTACTGTGTCATTACTTAGTAACGGACGTCTCTTCTGATTAAAGTATTCCGGCTTTCAGCGGAAATGCCACAATATGTATATACAACATTTCCTTATACTTCTACCTCACAAAGAATAAGACATATTAAGAATAAGAAAGTGTACAAGTAAACAGCAGGGTAATTTGGAGAAACAAACAAAAGTGATTTTGAAATATAACTGAGAAAAACTGATTTGATTTCAAACATAACGAGGTCCTTAACCTTCATGTTAGCAGAACAGGCGCATCGAAAAGAAAGACAATGTTCAATTGAGGAACAAACACTACAGACCGAAAAGTGTCTAACCAGCAGCAGGAACACGATGCTTGCTATTTTCATACAGGGAAGGAATAGATTTAAGACTACGATAAACCCGAAAGGAAAGAAATTTATCAAGATGATGTTTCAATTTACATAGATAATACGATAATAATTTGATACCAGTATGTATTTGCGTGCTCAACAGCCCAAACGCCAGTTATATAATAAACACGAGCAAAGAAGGAAACAAAATAACACAAACACAGCAAAACAAAACGTACATCATTTCAACAATAACCATTCAATTGGTGCGGTCGTGCCAACCATGCTGCTTTGAGAGTAAATAAATAAATATACATAAATTAATATTGCGAGCAATTAATGGATCATAATTAAGAAGCAAAAAGCTAAAGCTACCATGTAACAGGCCGTGAAGGTCCGTAGGGTTGTGAGACGTCGAGGCTCCCACATTTTCTCTAGACAATCGGCTCAAAGATGGCAGCAAGGTTGTCAGCCTTGTACGCCGGCCGCCCTTTACCCCAAGGAAGATNTACTCATTGCTGTTGCTGTTAGAGGCTGAGTCGACCCCAGGGTCGTATTGCGGCTGGAAGGACTATGTCAATTGAAAAAATCCACCTCATCGGGAATGGAACCCACGACCTTCCGGCTTGTAGCACAGTGCCTTAACCAACTATGCTACCGCGTGCTCCCAATGAGAAGTGCAAATTATAATATCTGATTAAGGGAAAGTGTTTTGGTTCCAAATATGTCAACTTCCCTGCAGACAGTAATCGCTGATGAAGCGTAAATAGCAGAAGGACAGTTATTAATAGAAATCAGAAATTGAATGGAATTTCTAGACCCCACAAGGAGCCTTAAGTTTAGGACGTGTTCGATGCCAGGTTAACACTTTATGCATAAATTGTAGCGTAATTTGAAGTCAGCATTGCTAGTGTAGTACATTGAAATGCGGTAGGTGTTGGTAAGCAGAAGAGCAAGACGCAATATGTAACCATAATACAGTCAGTCCGCACCCTTACGAAAAATTACATTTGTGGAGGGAATTCGTAAGGCGATATGTTGTAAAAATATGTAAAGCTATCCCTGTAACAGGCCGTGGAGGCCCACAGAGTTGTAAGAAGTAGAGGCTCCCACATTTTCTAGACAATCGGTTCGCAGATGGCGGCGAGGTTGTCAGCCTTACGCGCCGGCGTCCTTTACCCCCCAGAAAAATTGCTAGTACTGTTTCTGTTAGAGGGTGAGTCGATGTCAGGGCCATAGTGGGGCTGAGAGGATTAGGTCAATTTAAAAATCCAATGACCTCATCGGGACTCCAACCCGCGACCTTCCGGCTTGTAGCACAGCGCCCCATCCAACTACGCTACCGCGTGGCCCCCACGATATTCTGTAAAATGCCTCCCGTGTGGAGGCTGGGTCGAATACCTCCACCGTAGTCCTGCGACGCGACGAAAAGGGAAGTCTCACATCTGAGACAGTCAGATATGGTCGCGAGTCCCAAGGGACTCAGACGCCAGAAAGACTGCGCTAGCAAGAGCCAGTAGCATCCAAGTCAAAGTCCAAGTCACATTGCGGCTGACGTAACCGTCAGTCAGTAAGTCTTGATGTCAAGCCCTATCTGGTGCTCATGACCAGATATTTATTACTCTTTGACAGTTATGGTCTTGTTTTTGTAGGGTGCCCTCTCTGACGAGAGGACGGGTCTGTCTTTTGTACATGCTGCTGGCCCTTGCCAGAGCAGTCTTTCTTGAGTCCGAGTCCCTTGGAACTCGCGACCGTATTTTACTGTCTCAGATTTGAGACTTCCATTTTCGTTGCCTCCTATGACTTGCAGGGTCACGGTGGAGGTATTCGACTATCCTCGTGTTCTGTTATATAGTCGCACTTATTGCCTCTAGACTAAGTTTCACGTTGAAGATCCACACCAAAGGTTTTCCGGTGAACATTATTCTCGAGAGCATCAACATGAAGCTAAAGTAGAAATGCATCCACTTTCTCAGGAACGACCTATCGTATAAGATGTTTACGTAAAACACGGAGCATACGCAACACACAGAATCCATAAATGTTGGTAGTGCCAGAGCTCACGCGGCTTCTCTTCAGTGTGGCTAGTGTTCGGTTCTAGGCTAGTTCATCTGAGATTCGTGGTGAAAGAAGTGGCCCTTGGGTAGGCTTCTTACCGAAGTTCTTTTTTTTTTTTCGAGTTTTCCCTGCTAATCACGATTCTACTAGTGCTCCATATTCACGTATGACTGGCCCTGAGGAGAGCAGGCAGCACATTATCACATCTTCAGTCTTCATCCCTTGTCTAGTTGCAGAGAAAGAACTTTTACCAACTTTCACTTGATAAGTTCATGATACTGTAAATAATGGGTTCAGTAGAAGGAAGGATGAATTACCGCCCTGTGTATTTTTACATCTTTCATTTATTTACTTAGATATAGTGTATTTTGCGGATCACAGTGGCCTCCCACTCGAGGCATGGATGTCCGCGTTTTTCTGTGTGAATGTGTTTGTGCTGTGTAGGTAGCGGCCTTGTGATTGGCTGAGTCTGCAAATTTATGAAACTGGGGTGAAACGGCGTTTCTCGGATGCCCTATGCTCCAGAGGGAGCAAGAGACATCACATAATGAGATAAATATGACACTGAATTTCCTCAGTTCATATAGCGTAGAATGTTTAGATCATAGTAACAATAAATCGTAAATTATGTGGAAGTGTGACCTAACTGAAGGCACTATCCCGAAATTTACTTGGAGTGACTGAGTAAAACCACGATAAACCTCAGTCATGGCAGATGGTGTCTCGGTTGAGGTTAGAAAATGTCGCCTTCCGCGTGCAAGTAAGAAGCATTATGCCTGAGCCAGCTTCCTCGGTAGCATGCTCACCTACTTAGCAACAGATAAAGTCCCTGTACTTGGTCAGTTAAGCACTACGCTAAGAAGACGTTATGCGGAAATGGAAGTATAGTTCCACCATTCGGAATTTGGTGGAGGTGAATGGTCAATTTCACGCCCAGGCCCCTTTGTTCCCTGGGAAAGACCCCCCATACCCACTGGCTGGGTAAGTCGCAGAGCTGACCTGGACGGTATGAAGTAGAAAATCAGTTCCTTCCATGGCGGGAAGGGAACCCCGGCCGGTAATCCGTGTCTATGCGTAATGAAGATGTAACAGTAGATATGGATCGGAAATTCATGAACTCAAGGACAATGAAGCTGCGTTACTGTGTCCTGAACAGGAACATTCTCTAGGAGAAAGAAGAGTGAAGGTTACCGCGACGGGTTCGCGGCTCAGGCAAGTCAGTTCGCGCTGGGGAGTACAGCAGTCGAGGTCGTTGCGTGCTCTCGGGACAGAAGAAGTGTGTGTGAATGCATCGCCACAGCTGCAGGAGCCTCGTATGACTGGTGAGTTCGCAGAGACGTGGCGCACACTGAACTCACTGCTCACTTATTCCATCAGGCGTTCGTCACACCAAGTGAACGCATATGCATATATATATATATATATATATATATCTGTCTGTGCATTATATCCTTCTGAAATTACTGAACGCAATTCTACGAAATGTTCTATTGCGAGTCATAAGCTAAAAGCTGTAAGAAATAGTAAATTTGTACAGTTGGTAGAGAGATGGGCTGTGGACTGGAAGGCCGGGCTTCAATTTCCGGCACCAGGCGGGCTCCGGGTCTCACCCAACGTCCTATTCAATTGGTACTGGGGGCTCTCTCCCTGCGGATAAAGCGCCTGGGGCATGAAACGTACCACTGACCTCCATATATTGCCGAGCTCAAGATTGGTGGAGCTATGCCTCCACTCCCGCATGAGTCTTAATGACAGAGTTTTTAATTAATTAAGCGCAGGAACAACTTTACCGTTTATCATTCTGCTGTTTACTTTATACATGAAGGCAAGAGCAGAGTTTTTCAAAGTACTCAGAACTTCATCGTAAAAGTCTTTGCAAGATACTGTGATAGCTTGGGGCCGTGAATGTGCATGAAGAATGGCTGTCCACACACCCCTAGCTCGGCACTTGAAGTGACTGGTTCAAGCAGTTCTGCCCTCTGGGAGTGTTCTCCTGCTGGTTAGGAAACAGCGTGAAAGGGGGTGGGGTAGCGAAAGTTAGTATCTAATTTTTCAAATTGTTTAGGATTCCTAAGAATGTTATTCTTTTAAGATTAACACATGATGTGAGGTTTGCGACTTTCAAGGCGGTGGCTATGAAGATCGCTATTTTCCATAGACGTGACGCCGTACGAACTCTTATACTTTGAAGATGGAGGCAGTATATTTCTCCATACTCTCAGTAAACTTCTATCAGACTAATCGATGTCACATTTCAGAAGACATGTGAAAATATATTTTCAGTTATGCATCGGTAATGGTAACCTTTAGCTTAGGTCGTCTATCCAGAGGGTCCGTCCAGGTCCGACGCTTTGTGTTCATTTTCGTAACAAAGAATTTTTTTACGGTGAGGAGTTGTTAGCCCACGACCAGCCCCCAAGCTGGAGGACCACCCCTTGTCGGCTGCCGGCGACTGCTTATTTAATATATTCCAAGTATAATTAGAATGACCAAGTTGAGGATGAGGTGGTTAGGGCATGTAGCACGAATGGGGGAGATGAGGAATGCATATAGGATATTTGTGGGAAAGCCAGAAGGAAGGAGGCCACTGGGAAGACCAAGGCGTAGGTGGATGGACAATATTAAAATGGATCTTAGAGAGATAGGACAGGATGGTATGGATTGGATTGATCTGCCTCAGGATAGGGACCAATGGAGGGCTCTTGTGAACACGGTAATGAACCTTCGGGTTTCATAAAAATGTTGGTAAATTCTTGAGTAGATGCAGAATTTGCTTCTTCTCAAGAAGGTCTCAGCTCCATAAGTAAGTAAATGGTAATCTTCTTCAGCGATGCCTGGTAGTAAATCTGGTAATGACAATATATCAATACAGAATCTAGTTTACTGTCAGATTTAAATTCTCCTGAACTACGTGAGAAATATGTTGAAATTGGGACAATCACAATGTTAGCACGTTAAAGTGACTCTTTTTGCTACATGTAACACCCTTGGCAGTACTGTGGATACAGAACCCCACAGTTGAGGATATTACACGAAGGAAGAAGAATTTCTAGCCCTGACAAGCGAAGCTCATTTATCGTCAAGTTGAAAACACAAATTCTGCTATCGTAATCGATGCACTGACGATAGAAACTAATTAAAAAGTGTAATTGCAAAACTGATGCTAAATTTCTTCTTTATCTTCTTCTGAAAGCGTTGGTCTTCAATGAATATAAAATTCTGTAAGTGCTATTCGGAGAAGCGGCAGATTCTACTGGGAAACACAGCAAAATACAGGTCTCGCCTGAATCATACTTTCTAAATGCTCAATTCAACAACTTCCCTTCTATATGCCTAACATATGCACTCATTAATCATTTTACGAGAGAACCGATGAAGGTGAATTTGTTCCTGTGCTTAATTGAGCACCACACCATGAAGACGTATGGCGGAATGGAGGCACAGCTCCACCATTGTAGACTAAGGCACTAGACGAAGGTGGTCAGTTTCATACCCCGGCCTATTTACCCTCAGTGCCCACTGGATAGGTGACTTGGTGGGCTCCAGAGGCGTTCTGGACTGTGTGGAGAAGAGAAATATTTCTTGCCCCTGCACAGAATCGAACTCTGGCCGTCGAACCTGTAGCCCGTAGCTATACCGACTGAGCTATCCCGGCTCACAAGAAAACTGGCGAAGTCTTATTTAATCTGCAAGTAAAGTAAATGTTGTGCTGTAGGAAAACGAGCCGAACTGTACCTCGCTCGAATGCCACTGCTGTAGCCTGCAAATACCAAATGTTATCGAATCTAACGAGTATTTTCGTAGGCGAGAGGTACGGGGAGATGGGCGGAGAGGAAGGCACGGTTCCTGCATTATCCGCTCGTTTTTTACGCTCCGTGCACAGATACACATCTGCAACCGTTACGTATTTTCTCGAACTGGAGGGGAACTTGTGAGGAAATTGTGGCTGTCCTCAAATCGTGTCTTGTGGGCATTCTAGATTGCTGAGTCCGTCCATCGGGAGTTAGGCAGTTTCTCCAGGAGAATGCCAGGATAATGTGGCAATTACATTATAAACGCGACTTGCATATTCCTTCCAAACCATTCTTCACTAATCATCCAGACATTCCACGCTATGTACTCTTGGCTATTGAAAGCATCGTTGAGTAAGTCGTGAATATACTACAATACTATTTCTTCTGGGCCACGGGCAATGCAAGAAGACAGAAACTGCACCGAGCAAATTCGTTTTTAATATCACTGCCGTGTTCACACAAGCCCGAAAATGGACTCAGTTCTGAGCTACTTCCATGTAATTCACGCTCTCATAACCTGCTTTTAAGATCCATTTTAATATTATCTCCCATGTACGCCCAGATCTTATATGCATGATCTTCACATGCGTGTTTCATGTTCCGCCCATCTCGCTGCCCTTATCTTGATTATCCTAAGAGCATTTAAAAATGCTTTTCGACTTACTGCGTTATTTTGAATCAACGCTATTCCTGTTGCTTTGAAATGCTCTCGTCAATACATTGTTCCCTAAGGCTCAGTCGGAAGGGCAAATGTCAAATTTCTGCGAAGTTAAGGTTGCTGACGTCTCGTAGTTCATCTTCTTCTCCATCTTGTGCCGTTACATTTCTCTATACATGAACGAATATCAACGTCCATCAAATGTAACAAGTTTAAGAGGAAAATATAAAAGTTAGCCTTTACGTGTTTCGGCCGCTTCTGGTAATCATCAGAAGGCGCACTATAAAGATGTACTTTACATATGCGTTTGAGCATAATTTGTCATAAGGGGATTTATACAAGCATTCGAAATCGAGACTCAGATGTTGATGCAAATGAAATTAGCTCTGTCCCACTCACTCAATCATGGAACTGAGCCCTTCTTGAGAAGCCGCCAATTTCGCAGCTACTCAAGAATTTCCCAGCATTTTATGGAACCAGAAGATTCATTACCGTGTTCACAGGAGCCTTTCACTGGTCCCTAACCTCAGATAGATCAATCCAGTCCGTACCACACCATCCTCTCTAAGATCCATTTTAATATTGTCCATCCATCTACATCTTCGTCTTCCAAGTGGTCTCTTTCTATCTGGCTTTCCCATCAATATCCTACATGCATTCCCCTTCGCCTCCATTTGTGCTATATGACCTGCCCATCTCATCCTCCTTGACTTGATCATTCTAATTATACTTGGAGAAGAGTACAAGTTATGAAGCTCCTCATTATGCAGTTTTCTCCAACCTCCTGTCACTTCATCCCTCTTCGGTCCAAATATTCTCCTCAACACCCTCAGTCTATGTCCCTCCCTTAATGTCAGAGACCGAGTTTCACACCCATACAGAACCACAGGCAAAATTATAGTTTTGTATATTCTAATTTTTATGTTCTTGGACAACAGACGAGAAGACAAAAGGTTTTGGACTGAATGGTAGCAAGCATTACCCGAGTTCAGTCTCCTCTTAATTTCCTCCTGAATCAGGTTTCGATCTGTTACCGTTGTTCCCAAACATTTTCAAAACATCTGTTTCCTATCTTTATGTCATGATTTTGCCCTGCATTTTGGTGACGAGACAGCAACATATACTTAGTTTTCTCTGTGTTTACTTCTAGACCAACCTGTTTACTTGCGCCAACTAAAGTCTGTGTGTTTTTCTGTATGGTACTTATATTATCTTCCAGTAGATTCATATCATCGGCATAGACCAACAGCTGATTTGTCCCGTTTAATTTCAGTCCCACATGGCTTTCCTGGACCTTCCTAATGGCATATTCTAAAGCAAAGTTGAAAAGCAGTGGCGATAAAGCATCTCCCTGTTTTAGACCATTCTAGGTAGGAAAAATCATCAGACAAATGTTTACTTATACGGACAATAGTTCCCGTCTAACTGAATCAAGGGGTTTAAAGAAGTCTATGAATAGCTGACGTACTGCCTCATTGTAACTCTTTTTTTTTTCCAGGATCTGACGAATGCAAAAAATCTAATCAGTACTTTATTTGTTATGTCTAAATCCACACTGATGATCCCAGATAATTTCATCTATACACTCAAGTGCCAAAAGTCACGGGATAGCAGTATGTAAATTTATTTTTAAGTGGCGCCACCGTCCCTTGACGGCTTGGGAATGCCCAGAGCAGTATCAGTTGTGAGGTGTTCTCTCGTGAGTCAGGTTGAACAGCGGCCAGTTTGCTCATGGCAAGCCGACGTGAATTACCGGAGTTTGAACGGGGCATGATAGTGGGTGCCAGGCGGATGGGACATTCCGTTTCCGAAGTTGTGCGGTCATTCAACATTCCTCGATCCACGGTGTCACGTGTGTACCGGGAATACC